CATACATACATACATACATACATACATACATACATACATACATACATCGGTACGTACATACATACATACATACATAAATAGATACATACATAAATAGATACATACATACCTACACCGGTACATACACCGGTACATACACCGATACATACACTACACTCACTGCTCGACCGCTAAGAGAGATTACTTGAACTATTTTGCGACTCTAAATTAGAAGACATGCCTTACAGTCCTCGCTAGAACTAGTTGGGAATTATAGGGCTACAAGAAAATATTTTTCCTAAGCAAATATTAAAAGCGGCAATAACTATGTGTTCCGACAGTAAGTTAAACATTCTTCAGGCTTTAATTCAGACAATTTTTATTACTTTGTGCAAGTAACACATACATACATACATATATACATACATACATACATACATACATACATACATACATACATACATACATACATACATACATACATACATACATACATACATACATAAATACATACACACATAAAATAAGAATACGATAAGCTCAACAAAACACAGCATTTCACTTTTGTATCAAATATAACACCTAAACTATATTTTTTTTACCGAGAAATTGGGATAAAAACGCAGAATATCAATTTATTGCTAATTTTTTTCTGTGTCGGGCAAAGCTGACAAACTAATTGGAAAGAAAATACACAAAAATCCTTTGGATGCGGACTCGGACTTGGATTCGGATGCGGATCTACATGCAGAGACTCATTAGCTTTGCTTCAGTTAATGCAAAATCAAGTTGCCACCATGGTGGCCCAAATCCCAGTCCATTTGTCTACTGCGTGAGCGTTAATCATCATCCTATACGCGTAATTACAGAGTCAGCGAGAAAAAGAAAGTGTGGGAGAAAGTGTTTGTCGACTATGGAAAGGAAGAAAAATTTGGCAGGAAGGATGGAGGACGAAAGTCAAGACGCAGCATCAACTGAATATTAAAAAGACTTTTTGCATGGTGTTGATAGGAAGGAGCCCCGGGGAGATGGGATGCTTCTTTACATTCGCCAAAAACCACTGCGGTTGCAGTCACTTTTGTGGCACTGGCCAAAAGCCGCAAATATTATTAACCACGAATCAGGCGTATTCAGAAATGCCAACCCCAGAAATCCCGTCCTCCCCGAAAAGCCACTTCATTAGGCGAAAATAGAATCCATTGAAGCGGTTGTGGATTTTCGTAGCATACTTTTTGGAGCTAGCACAACTGCCGACGCTTTCGAGGAATTGAAACTGGCATGAGGTTTATTGAAACTTAAAACATACCATTTTATGAATTGTATGTGCAAACGACCATTTAAGTGCTGGAATAGTTTTAAATGTTTCCTTACAACAAAGCGCTCTACTCTTTCACAATCGGAATGTAATTTTTCAATAATTCATAGTAACCACGCTGTCCTAATTTCCACTTAAGCCCTCCAAAAATAACCCCATCGAGTGACTGGGACTTAAAGCGCCTGGATTTAGTGGGAGTCCGACTGCAAGATGAGTAGGAAGCGCCAGGACACGAACAGGAATCCGATGCGGAATGTCAACTAAGAGTGTTGAGTGTCAAAGACGGATGCCAGGGCGAATTGCTGGCAATCAAAATCCGAAATCCGCTGAAAGCTCGAGGAAAGTGGGCAGATGGGGGGAAAGGGGAGAAAACTGGCGATAACACCGAATGCTCGAAACAGAAAAGCACTTAACTCTTAAAGGCGAAATGCTTGTAAAATTTAAGCCCTACTTAATTTGCGATATACTCGTAAACAATTGCCCGCGGCAATCTCATTGTGGCACTTGTCACTGGCCTCCCGCGGTGGGTGGTGGTGGGTGTTGGGTGCTGGATGGAGCTGTGAGTGGTTTAGAGTGGCTTGAGAGTCGTACCGTGCCAAGACGCGCCCCCAGCCCTTTTCCCACGATTTTTACTAATTTTAATAAAGCCTCAGAGACAAAGGCGTCGCTGGGGTTGCTTGATGAACAGGCGAAGGCGAAGGCGAAGGCGCCGCAACTCGATATCACAAGACAAAGGCTCACATCAAGAGGAAACCACAGGCTATGGCTACACCTACGCCTTAACCCGCCATCTGCTCCTCCTCCTCCCACTCCCCAAAGTGTGTGTGCCGCAAGGAGTTGTGGGGCGGGGAAAGGGGTGCTGCCACATAGCATTCCGGCTTATTTCTTTCAATTTTGGTTTTTACTCATTTCGCGACGCGGTTTCTCATTATGCAGACATAGCTCGGGAAATGCCGATAGAGATGGCAGTGGATGACTTAACCAGGGAAATGCCAGGGAAAATTCCACTTAAACAATCTTAGAGGAGGAACGAGTGGCCACAATATAGTAAGCTGATAAAAGTTCCATTTCATTTATTACCTGTAGATAAATAAGTTATGGAGTTATTTTAAGATCTTTAGGACGGGTCTAAGTATAGGCAAATAAGTCCGTACTGGACACGAATTTTCCATCAGCGATCTGCTTTTCGGCCAAGGCCACCACTAGCCCCAAATGAATTTTTCGTGTTCGTTGGTGGAAAGCTGGGAAATTCGAGGATATAGGATGCGATGGTGGGTGGGGGGTGTGGCAGTGAACGGGAAATGTCTTTCTCTTGACAGAAACCGCGAGACCCCGCATCAGCGGCACATTTGTGTGCAGTGCCGTCGCCGCAGCCGCTGGGAATTTAACCCTTTACTCCCCGAAAACCTGCTCACCCCACCTTAACCCATTTCACAACCCACACCCGTGCCTTTTTTGTGTGTGCCAGCCAGTGGATTACTCAATTAATTTAATTATGCGCTGTCAATCATTTCGTTGCCTTGGCCCAGGCACTTGCTTACTTTCCCTGCGACTGTCTGCCCACCGGCGCCACGCCCACTCCTAGACGCCTTCTTGGCCCATTCCCCATACCCCATACCCCACGCCCATGGGCCTGGGCAAAAAGTGACTTATTTTCTTGTTGCCACTTAATTTTTGTTGTCCTTAGATTTGCGCCAACGTCTGTGGCCGCTCAGCCGCGGCCTTCCGCCCCCTTGGTCCGCCCACACCCCACCCCTTTCTCTTGGCTAACCCCTCGCCCCTCCCGTACACATTTTGCCTACACTTTGCCTGTGGCACATCTCAACGGAGTCGAAAACTGTGGAAAAAAAAATACTTTAAAATGTTTCGGCAAATATATCCCATGTATATAGTTTTATTTTTAATGATTTTTTGATTTGACCAAGCTTAGTTTATTACTAATAAAACATGCGTATAAACACAAAAGTGGCAAGCAAAAATGTAAATAAGCAATAGACATGGTGTATCAGTACTGTAGTTTTGGGCAGTGCAGCATTGAGGCACGCAACTTTAGACAAATGGCATGGGGCACAGGACGACCCCCATCCTTTTAGCAACCCCCTCCAGAGTTGAGCCACCACGCCACTGAAATAATCGCGACCGCTTGGAAATAAGAGAAATCATTTGCGTTTTTGCGTTTACGCAAGGCACGGGTTCCGAGCTGCTAATCCCCCGGCACCATCCCGAAAAGAAACCCCTTCTTGCCGGCATACGAGTACATATAGAATCCATCCTTCCTGATCCCGAGCTGCAGATTCCCATCAGCTTTGTGCTCTGCTCGTCGTAATGTTGACTTTTCCATTTGCCTAGGCAATTTGTGGCACTGTTTTTTCCGCTTCTTCAGCGGGTTTTCTTATTTTCTTATTTTTATTTTATTTTTTTGCTTTCTTTGAACCCGTCTTCTGGCGTCTTCTGCGAATATCCTGCGGGCTTTGTTTGCGCCTGTATTTGCTTAAGCTGCACATGTCTGCGTGTGTAGTGTGCCTGTGTGAATGAGTGAGTGTGTGTGTGTGTGCACGGTGTTTGCTTACATGTGTAAATTACTTTTCAATCTTGTGATTACTTTTTTCCACATTTAATTATTTTAATTACGGCCCAGCGCACACAGCAGCATCCACCGAAAACCCTTTTCCTGCGACTGGTTCAAAGAATCCGAATGGCTCCCAACTCCCTGAACCTTACCTTGCTCCACTTGAAACTTGAACTTTGGGCCCTAAACTACTAATAAAGAAACTGTGCTTCTTTGTTTTTAAATTAATCCCCATCAAGGTGACGATATCTATATATTCTTTAGCAAAATAATAGGCATATTTAGCCGACTCAAAATGAATAAACAATTTTTTGTATATAGATGTATTTTATAGCGATCATTGAGCTTCGCTGAGCTGAGAAACATGAACTACAATTCATTCAATTTTTAAATATAAATAATACGTAAAACGTAACAGAAAGATCCCTAAACATTGTTAAGTAATATCCCATAGATTAACGTTATTCGATGACTTTTGAGTATCTTAATCACTGAACTGCAAAAAAAAGCACACATTCGCGCACTAAAACAGCCAGCTGTGGATTTTAGGTTGCATTGATGATTGATGGATTGATGACGGCGACAAATGATGGATTCGCCGATTCTCGATGCGATCGGCAGTCGGATGTGACCTGAATCACCTGCTTGGAAATGCGTCAGGTGTGCTAATGGGTTTGCTAGCCTGGATCGCAATCTGCAGGTGAATTTCGGGCATCTGGATCCGAATCTTTAGCGATCTTTGTTGGGCGATGGACGACGGACTGCCGTCCACGGAGGAAATCCCTGCACTTGAGTCGTCGACGGGATAAAGTCATTTGTGGGCTGCTGCCGACGTCGCTGCTCCGAGGATATCATCGAAGTCCTCCGAAAAAGCCGCCCCGTTTCGGCCGCGGCTTTTCCTGCTACCTTTCGGAAAAGGGGGTGGCGGCGAACAGGACGAGCTCCAGTGCGCCGACTCCCAGACTGTTATACTGTAATACAGTGCTCACCCCCCGGGTTGAGTACAATTCCACTTCGGGTTTTACTCCGAAAACGGCGACGACGACGACGACGACGACGACGACGACGGCGACGCCGACTGTGACGTCGACTGCAATTTTCAGTGCGTTCGAAAGTTCGACAACTTTGGAAAACTGTCAGTTGGCAGCGAACTTAGAACAGGTAGAGACGCACGTTCCGCCTGGAAAATCGGTAGAGAAACGGAACAGGCTAGAAAGGAACATATATTGGCCCCAAACTCCCCGACACACCGTATTGGGAAAGCCGAACGCTGCTTTTTTTTGTTTTTGTATTTTGGGGGTTCGGAAAACGTGCGTCGACGTCGACAGCGACTGAAAGACGGCGACTGAAACGGCGACGATGTAAAATTTTATTACCCCAAACGCATCGAGCAGTCGGGTTTTGGACGTCCGGACTTCACCGCCGCTCGCTGCGACGCAGACTTTTATTGCAGCTGCCATATAGAGTGGGTACATTCCATGGTCTGGCCCGGAGATCCCAAAAACTTTCTGAAGACGGACACAAACTTTTACCAGAGTGCGGCATAAAAGTGCAAAAGTTTTTGTTCGCAGCGCCACGAACTAAAAGCAAAACTTCTCAGCCGCCGCGCAAAACCCCCTTCACAAAAAAAAAAAAAGAAAAACCTAAAATAAAAACAAAGTAAAAACCAGTGCAATGCAAACAAAAGCTCACAAATATAATAAACAAATACTAAAAAAGTGCGTGCTCTAATTGACATCAAGTATACGTCCCGTTAGCCGGCTTCTGTTTACCAAAACATTAAACATTTCTCGAAGACATTACCGCCGTCGCGTTGACAAAAAGTGAGTTGAGTGTTTGTTTATTTGTTTTTTGTTACTGTTTACCCAGTTTTAGTTTGGCTTATTTTTTGTGTTGGTGAGACATATCCCATATATGTATAAAACAAAGTGTTTGTGTGGAACAAGAAAACGCAACAGCAACTTGATCAGCCAGCAGCAACATCATTACCAGCAAAGCAAACAAAAATATAGAAACAAAGGCCTTGACAGAATGGTCAACCAATAAGTGCAGAGTGCTTAAATAAAAGAAAATTAAAAACAAAATCGAAATCGAAATCGTAATCGCTAAGACAACAAAATCGAAACAGAATTCGCCAAATAGGTAAAGTTCATATATAAGTATTTGAATCTTGTAATATCCCCAATAGATCTTGCAATTTTTTGTATCGAACTGATAACTGACAGTCTAGAAATATATATAAGAATATATATATATATTGTGTACACTATATACCATGCTGATCCTCACCCAGACCCGCCCCCCTGCCCCTGTGAAGGCAAAAATTTCGCAATAAAAAAAGAAAACACCAACCAGAACGAGAAATCAAACAAATAAGTACTAACAAAACAGGAAATCAAAAACAAATAGTATACAAGTACAAGAAATTCAATGCAACAAGAATAATCACATTGAGAATTTGAATAACAAAATTGAAAATTGAGCTAGCGCAAATCTCGAGTTTCGACTCGATATTATCCTAACCATTTAGATGTGGAGCTTATGTCACGTACCCACCCACTAACTATGAATTATTTTATTCCCATATTCATAGGTGATTTACAATAACGAACGTTTGCAGCGGAAGCTTCTATGTTTTCAAATTACATAGATATATTCTTGAACTCTAATCATTAGCGCATTTTGTATAAAAGTTCCCCGACTAAGGCCTAACTGTATTTGGAGAACGTAAGGTGTCGAAAAAAGAGAAATTGGTATATCTTCCAATAACATGATATATAGTTTATGGTATGCTACCATTGAATTGAGCACAAATAAGATGACTATACTAGAAATTAACCATTTTTATGACGACAACAAAACATTAACCCGCTGACACAATACTAGTAGTTTTTGATCAATTTTAGAGGTGGGATGCTAAATGCTAACATTATGATTTGATTTATGATAAACAAAAATGACTTTGACTTAGCAAAACCGAAAAGTCTCACCCAAATATTTGTTTGTCAACACTTTTTTGTTTAGTTCTGTTTCAAGACAATCTGCCGATGGTGTCATTTTTGTTATTAGGGCGCTTGCTTACTGAATATGGTTTCGATTTTGTTTAGTCTGGTGATGTATGTTGGAGGGAAATAAGTTTGGATTTCGGTTGCTGAAGCTGCATAATGATAATGCTAATGATAATGCTAATGATAATGTTGCAAAGGTGCATCCACACAAACTGCCACTTCTGCCCTCAAAAATCACCACAATATAGCTTACGTTTCGTTTGACTTTTCACCTGATCAGCGGAGCCAAAGAGCCGGAAACACGGAATAGCCACCGGGAAGATGGCGCTTTCCAAGCGGCCCCTTACAAAGGACACGCCGTTGTCCGAAAGCAACGGCAACCACACCAATGGCAATGATCACGAGACCTCCATCAAACGGCGCAAGCGTTGCAGTCGCGACGAGGACTCCAACCTGATCAATAACAACAATAATAACAGCAATAGCAACAACAACAACTTGCCGCAGAAGAAACGCAAACAGGGTGGCCAGGGCCACATTGCAGACAGTCCGGAGAGCCCCACCTGCGGCACCCTGCCCACGCCATTGGCCAAATGCAACACGGATGCGGATCAGGACGATGAGACCCTCATCCGCGAAACGCAGGCGGCGCTAAAGAGCCTCTCGGGCAGTTGGCCCGACTCAAGGGGCAATTTGTATCGGCTGCAGGAGCAGGACGAGAATCCACCGCCCTTCCAGAATCTGTTCGAGGAGAAACAAAAGTATGAGGCCATCGGCAATCCCAGCCATGCCATACAAGCCAGCTCAACAAATCCAAATCCCACACTCTTCTCACGTTTCCACAGACAAAAAGAGAACGACCAGGCGCGCCTAAACGCAGTCAGTGGTGTTGGTGGTGGTGGTGGTGTCGTCCATCTGGAGGCACAGGCGCGCGGCAAAAAGTCGCCCGATGAGGATCAGGATCCGGAACTGGAGGATACCTCCTCCTCCGCCTCGGGACAAGGCGTTTACGCCCAAGCGGCGTCGGCCTTCAAGCCGCCCATCGATATCATCAAACGAAATTATGTTGCCGCCGCTCATGCCCATTATAGTGCCTATAATGCGGCCGCTGCAGCGGAATCTGCCGCCGGATTGGCCTACTATGGCTACGCCGCTGCCGCCGCCGCTAGTCAACAGCAACAGCAGCAGCAGCAACAACATCAGCAGCAACAGCAGCAACAACAACTGAGTACCGCCTTCGATATTGCCAGTCAGCTGGGCGAGAAGCAGCGGCCCAAGGAGCCGATGGCCGATGGCAAGCAGTACACGATCCTCCAGCCGGCGGGCATCGGCAGTCGGGCTGCTTCTGTAATGCAGGACATAGCATCGCGTGAGGGCGTTGTGGGCGTTCCGCTCGTGGCCACGCCACCATCAACGGCGGCCGGCAGTCCGGCGGCAGCGGTACCAACGGCAGGACCGTCGACTCCTTCGACACCGGCACCTAGTTATTCGCCGGGTAGCCAGAATCGCGGTAAGTGGTCAAAAATAGTAAGCCATAAACCAAAAAAAACCAAAAAAAAAAAAAAAACAAAGAGAGTGATTTTCCCAGTTGATTGTGATGAGTTGGTGTGCCTCGCTGCTGAGAAGAATCCTGTGAAACTGTACTGTATTGTAAACAGAACTGTTTCTCGGCGCGATTAGTGCTTTGCAACTTGTGTGAACATGAAAACAGTGCTGTACATATCACTATGATTCAAACATAAAACAGTACTGTAAATGACCATAGACCATAAACAGTTCTGTTAACAGCAAAGTAAACTAGGTTTCAGTACTTTTGAAGTATGCAGTACAGTAGTTCACGTGCGATTCGTTGTGGTTCGGCTGGGTTTCCGTTTCGGTTCGACTGAACACTGAACGATCGGTTGATGTGCGAGACTTCTTGTTGCATTGAGTTTACCGCTTCAATTGGCAAAATCTGAGTAATGTCCCCTGTCCCTACCGCCCCCCAAAACCAACCCACTAAACACCCCTTAAGAGAGACAGAGACGGTTAGAGATGGAGATAGAGATAGAGAGAGTGTATGCGTATGTGTGAGTCTTCTGGTATGCGTATGATCATTGCCCCAAAGAAACTAAGAAATACTAGAGAGAGACACTCAATTTCCCTCCGTAATAGGCAACATTATGACGATTATTACGCCGCTGGTATTTGTTGTCATTATTATTTGCACAGACTCCTGCTCGTAACCCCACATATCTAAAAATAAAACCCTTTTTGCAGCTCATTCAGCAGCCAAAAAGACATTAAGCGATTTTGTCGTTATGAAAATGGGATCGGTAAGGGGGTGCTGTACTTTTGGTTGAAGTTGGGGGTTTCCAGCGCACAACAACTAATGGCTTGTAAACCCTTTATGCCACACAACACAGAGGCACATGGACAGACATCTTTTGGTTGAGTGCCTGAGCCTTGAGCTTTGCCTTCTACTAATTTCGCAGTACAATTTCCACAGGCGACGACGATGAGGATGTAAGGGTGGGCGGGGTAAGTGGGTGTGGCATGATTAGATATAAAGCATTATGAGCACGTTTTCCTTCAAAAACCACTTTTGCATATTTATTTTGTCATTATGTTTTGGCATTAATATGCTCAACCAGAAGCTGAAGCTACTTTTCCTCCTGTGTGTGTATGTCCTTGGTATTCATATAATTTGAATGACTTTTTAAATAGTTGACGGAAGCCTTAGATTCTAAAGCTCGCTGCGTATACGTAATAAGTCATTAGCGTGCGGCAAGCCTCATGGTTATTGTTTTAGCCTCTTTGCTAATGTGGCTTATTAGGCTTAACCCTTCAGTGTTTGTGTGCGTCTGGTTTCTAGACTCCTCTCAATCACTAGTTTTCGCCATGTTCCTTCGTTTTTTTTCCTCCGTTGCTCGCACCACACACACGGAAATTTTCTAATGTACAAACACTTTAGACCCCCTTCCCGTTGGCTTTATTTTAATTAAATTCTAATTAGAGACGAGTCGGTCCTTTTACCTTTGCTCTGCTCGCTTTTCCGGCAGCTGCAGTTTGACATTTTGTGCCCGGCCACGTAATAGACAAAAACAGGAGTAAAATATTTCGAAAAATATTTCATTAACCAACCCCCCATATCATACACACAACATACATCAGAAAATATCAGGGGGCTTGGCATTTTATCTTCGAGGAGTTGCGCTTAGAAAGCGACCAAGTTGTTTGGGTCTGGTCTGGTCTGGTATGGTATGGTCTGGTTTGGCTTGGCTTGGTTTGCTTGGGTTTGATTTTTGAAGCTGTCTCGCAACCCATTCCCGACTTCCCCTCTGGCTGACTGTCATGTGTGCGTGAGCTTTTTAAAGTAAATAATGCAAAGCTGTTTTCCATCAAATTTTAATTAATTATTTAGGGTAAAAGAATTCGTGTTGCCTGCTGTTGATGATGATGCTGTTGCTGCTACTGGTGCTGCTTCTTTCGCATTGCTGCTTTTTAACGTTTTTTTTTTCATTTTTTGGGGGGGTTCTACGTCAAGTTGTCTCTCGTTGTATAATTAATTAGAAAATAGTCACCCTCCCACTCAATCCACCTGTCTCATTCTGGCATGTCTATATATGCCCTCTCGCTCTCGCTCACGTTCTTCTTCATCGTTGAATTTAAGTTATACTGTTAATTGGTTAATTGTAGATGGCGTCAAATGCCCCACGCCGCATTGTACGGGCCAAGGACATGTCACCGGATTGTATTCGCACCATCGCAGGTACCCATCCATATATCCATATATCCCATGGAACTGTCCTTCGGTCACACAATACAAAAAATTTTCTCTTTCTTTATATATATTTTTCGATCTGCCATGAATGGGAACTTGACAGTTTGTCGGGTTGTCCGAAGCGCGATAAAGTAACCACAGAATGTAAGTTTTCCCAAGAATACCAAAAGAAAATACTTCCGTTTCGCATGCCCGTGTATGCCTAGTAGTCGCTCTATCTCTGTCTCTGCCTCTGTCTTTCACCAACTCTTTGTCTCTCTCTAACTGTCAATTTGTATCCTGCTCTTTTCTCCCTGTCTCTGTCATCGTATTTCTTAGCAAAGTCTTGAGTGTGAATGTTTGATGTGTATGAGCGGTCTATCCTCTTCTTCTTTCAGATTCTCTAAGACTTTACAATACATGCTGTACTCTGAAATATCTAGTAGATCGATTTTTAAGTTATTTTACATTGTTAGGTCACAGATAAATAAATATTTTTATCCTGCAAAGGGAAATGTTTTAAACGTTTTGTAGAAACGCATTTTATTGCGTTCTTACATGCGCATCTTTCTTTTTAAATTCTCTGATTCCATTCTATTCATTCATTTTAAAGGACGTTTTTCCTATTTTAGCTTTACTTATATTTTTGTTATTCCTATTACATTGCCTAGTAACTAAACTCGTATTGTAACTTTATGAAGTAAAAAACTTTATTTAAGCAATTTTGGATTTAATGGACAATTTGTAAAACCAAAGAGGAGTTATTAAACATTATGTTCATACGCATTCTGTAGTATATATTAAAGCAATGTGATTAAAGTAATCTACTTTAATTTAAGACTTCTTCATGCCTATCCTTCTCATTCCATCTTTGCATGATCTTAGATAGATCTACAATTTGTCTACAGTGATAGAGTCCTTAATTCTGTTGTTAGAATGCATGTAGCTTACCATTAGCTTCCGATATGGATTGGATCAGCAAGATCTTTCCCACTGGCTACAGAGTAATTTTGACTTGACCTGATAGAGGATCTTACTGCTCTTTCTCGACCTTTCTCTGTCTCTGTCTGTGTCTCTGTCTCTGTCCCTGATTGTGGAATGCCTTGTTGTTGTAGTCGTGCTGATCCTCCGAAACTGATAATTCCCATGCACTTGCAGTGCTGGCTTTGCACGAGCAGATCCTGAAATGCCCCACGCCCGGGTGCAATGGTCGTGGCCACGTGCAGCCGCATCGCAGCGTGCACCGCAGCCTCTCCGGCTGTCCGCGGGCGATAAGGCGCTCGGGCGGAACCAGCCGCCGTCCGGGAGCAGCTCCACTAGCAGCAGCAGCAGCAGGTGAACCACTCTAGCCACTCTAGCCACTCCAGTGAGCTTTCAACCCAACCCACCCAATTCAGCCGACAGTGTGTGAAAGAAGCTCCCAAAAAAGCAATACCATTCGAAACTGATCTGTGTAACGACCTGTCTCTGTTCTATCGCTCCATGTCTTGCTCTGTTCTATCTCGCACCATCTAGCCGATCTGGACAAACATGAGAAGGAGCTGCATCCACTGGACAAACTGAAGCTGGCCTCCAATCACTATCTCAACAATAATAACAGCAACTGCATCAACAATAACAGCACAAAACTGAGCGGCCCCACAACGATGCCGATTATCAAATCGGAATATAGTCCTGTTGCCACCATTAAATCGGAGTATAACAAGAGCCCCATGCACTCATATCTCTCGGGGGAAGCGGCCGCGCCCGCCCCCGCCGCCCCTTCGTCAGCATCCGCCGCCCAAGCGCCGCGTTCCGGATCGGCAAGCGGTACCACAGCCTCCAATGGAGAGAACAACCTGCATGCACCGCATCTCAGTCGCTTTGTGGGTCTACAGAGTCCGCCGCATCAGCCACATCTCAATCCTCACGGGCATCACCAGCAGCAGCAACAGCAACAACAGCAGCAACAGCAGCAACAGCAGCAGCAGCAACAGCAGCAGCAACAGCAACATACGTTGCACCAGCAGAGAGGACCCTTCATAGAGGGCAACGATGTCCCAGATCCTTCAGCCAATTATCACTCGGAACACCAGCAACAGCAGCAGCAGCAACAGCAGCAACAACAGCAGCAGCAGCAGGCCGACGAGCGGCAGCAGCAATATGAGCAAATGCGGTATGCCCAAAGTCATGTCAGCGTGGGTCCAAGCGGTGAACTAATGGCGCCCAACGGAGGAGAACTATCGCCGGGCACGGCGAGAAGCGCCTACGAACCGCATCCCGGGCATCCGCATCCGCATCCCGGACATCCACATCCACATCCGCCCGTCTCGCTGAGCTCGCTCAGCTCTCCAGCTTTTACGGTGGACGCTGTGACGGCAGCCAGTGGAGCGGGCTTTGAACGGTACGATCCCAGCGGCGTCTGTTGTCCCAGCAACGGCCAGAGGGCCACTGCGGCAACAGCGGCGACGGCGGCGGGCGCTTCTGCGGCGGCGGCTGCCTATCATTATCTGCCCCAAACCACCGACGAGATGCAGGCCCAACAGCAGAAGTATCTGCAGGAGCAGCAACTCATGCTGGCCAAGGCAGAGCACGAGGAGTTGGCCAACGGTGGGCAGCCTCTTTATCCGCGGCCCATGTATCACTATGATCCCACGATGGGCCCTCTGCCGCCGGGCTTCTCGGCCATTAATCTGTCGGTTAAGATGGCCGCTGCTCAGGCAGCAGCTGCAGCAGCAGCCTATCAAAATCAACAGCAGCAACAGCAGCAGCAGCAACAGCAGCAGCAACAGCAACACCACCAGCAACAGCAGCAACAACAGCAGCAGCAACAGCAACACGGCAAGCAGAGCAGCTCACCCGCACCCAATGTGAGCGGTGTGCCGGCGGTGGATCTCAGTGGTTCCACCTCGGTAACGAGCAGTAGTCCGCACGGTTTCAATTCGCCAGCCTCGCACAACCAGTATACCGCCCAGCGGATGGGCAACGGCAGTCCGCAGCCTGGAGCCAGTCCAAACATAGCTAGTCCCCAGGTGCCCAGTCCCCAGGGACAAACCTTGGACCTCAGCGTCACACGATTACCCCACAGGTGAGTCATTAGTCCCTTCAAAACACCAGGCCTACATATACATGTTTATTGGCCGCCTATATTATTAATCACTTGGCTTATTCATCCGCAGCATTATTACGAGCCCGCAGTACGGTGCCGATGGCCTGGTGGTGGGTCATGCTCAGGGCTTTGTGAGTGGAGCGACAGGACCTCTCGGTCCGGGCAATGGTGGGCCACCACGATCGCCGCAAATGGAACCAGTGGACTTCAGCGGGCCTCCAAGACCCCTGGGCTTTGGTCTGGTGGGACACATCAGCGGTCCACGACCATACAGCCGCGAATCCACGCCAGACAGCGGCGGATCTCACTATATCGAAACGTATCGGGATCCCAGTGGTCAGTAGAGAACCCAGAGCCCAAAAGAACGGTGTTCGTGGCATACGTTTAATCCCACTCTTCAAAACCATCGCTCTTTGCAGGCTACTCACCGCACCCTGGCTATGGGATGGTGGTGCAATCGGACTATCCGCCTGCTGGATACCACGGCTACGGCCCGGCTGCTTATCAATGCAGTAATCCGTATGCCACAGCCGTGGGCCCCGGCGGCTATCCCACGCCCGTATCCGGCGGATACTCGCCCAGTCCGGCCACCTGCTACTCGATGCCACCGCCACAACACATACCGCAGCACGACAAGTCCAAGGACGGGTAAGTCAAGTCCCCCCAGTGTGTCCCCCCAATAATTGGTGGAAAGCCGCCCATCCATCTACGTTATGATGGCCACCGCTTGATATTTGCAATCCATCCTTGTCAAAAGAAATGTGTCTCCGCAGCACCTGGAGCTCATATAAATGAACCCTTTGCCTCAGTGCCCAATATAATTATCTTAGAAGGTGTACTTTAAACCTCAGAAATGAAGCACACAGTTCGAAAGGAGAACTTTAATCTAAACCAGTCGACCTTATGAGTGATAGTTGCCAAACAAAATGCAATGCTTGGCCTGAGCTTTGGGTCCTTCGTGGACACTAAGACTTTAATATTTATGATTACGACTGAATGTGGCCGCAAAGCGGTCGTAAAACCATCCCCACAGCTACCCACAGCTACCGTGATTAAATGAAACTTTAAAACCGAAAGTTTCAAGTCCAAAGTCTTAGCCGCACGAACAGACGCAGACATATGGAGTTCTCTTATCTGAGGGCGACCACTTGGCCTGGTTTAAGTTCCAGGAGTGGGCTTGGGTCACTCACTAATCCTCCGACCGCTCTTCTCTCGCCAGATTGACGGGCTGCTCGCGCTCGGACCGCAACCATCTACAGTCGCACTCGCAGGAGCTCAAGTGCCCCACGCCCGGATGCGATGGCTCCGGACACGTGACGGGCAACTACTCCTCACACCGCAGCCTATCCGGCTGTCCAAGGGCTAACAAACCGAAGAGCAAGCCCCGCGATGGCCAGGATTCGGAACCCCTGCGCTGTCCCATTCCGGGATGCGATGGATCCGGCCATTCCACCGGCAAGTTCCTCTCCCACAGAAGGTAAGTCCTTGTTGTCCGACGGCGGTTGTGGAACAGCAGCTCAAGGTGTTCTTTACCTTCTTTTACTTTAGTGCTTCGGGCTGTCCGATTGCCAATCGGAACAAGATGCGAGTCCTGGAAGCCGGTGGCACTGTGGAGCAGCACAAGGCCGCTGTGGCAGCTGCCACGGCCATGAAGTTCGATGGTAAGTGCATCATTACTGTTTGTACATCGTTAATATCCTCGCGTTTTAATTAAATCTACCCTAATCTCCATCGACTTTTCTTCTCTTTTAACCCGATATCTATAGCCTGCACCACGGTGGGAAGCCAGGGCATTAAGAAGCCCAAGTTTGATGAGGTCACCATGGTCTATCCAAAGGGTTATACAGGTGAGTGGCCCGATCTCAGACCTCAGACGCTTCATCTCGCTCTCCTTTTCTCTCGCTGTCTCTCTCTTGCGTGTATTTTTCTGTTATGAACTGGGCTTATGGCTAGTATACCATATCCCTCCTTTATCAAAAAGAGGGGTTGGGTGATAAAGTTAGCAACAAACGAAGAAGAAAAATAAGCATCGGTTACTTAATCAATTTCCCTCAATCCAAACGAAAGATAGCACCGAAAATGAAATCAAAATCCTTCAAAATCATCCAAAATATCGTATTCTTCTTCTCAGTTGTTGCTCGCTTTTTGTCTTGAACATTTTCGGTTGGAATTTTGTGTGCGTGTGCTAAAGTCAAACGATAAAAAAGAAAGCATTAAATGAAATGAATAACGGAAAGCAAATATTCAACAAGAAATAACTTTATTTTTGGTTTTGGTTTCGGAAAATGCAACACAAAAAGAATTTTAAAACTAAATTTTGCAAATTTCCATTAAGTTTCGAAATCCTTCGAAAACCCTCAGCCTCCGACAACACCAACTCTCCCGAAAGCCAAACACTCACTAGAAATATCCTCTGAAAATCCTCCCAATAAACCCGGTACATAACAAGAACCCATTTATATCCAATACCACACACACGCACAAGTGCATCATCATGTGCATGTGCGAGTGTGTGTGTGTGTGTGTATGAGCTACGAACAAGAGAAACAAAGCAAAAGCAACAAAGAAGCTGATCAAAAGAGAAAGAAACAATTAAATTCCTAGTTTTCTAATTCTAATTTAATTCTGTGTTTCTTCTTTTCGTTTCGTTTCATGTCGTTTTTGTTGACGTTTTCTTTTAGATTACGCAACGTTTTGTATCGGTGCCGAGTATCTACTGTAAATAGAAAACGAAACCACTGAATCGCAGTCAAAACTGTCCGAATCGAATCGAAACTGAAACCACAACCAGCAACCAAAAATAAATGCAATGAAAATCCAAATGCAGCAGTATAAAAACCAAACCAAATACAATACAAATTTTAAGTGTCTGTAAATATAACCGAAAGACAGCAATGCGAACAGACCACAAATTGTCATACCAACAAATAACACAAATCAGAGAATTAAATTAAAAATAAAAATGTACATACAAAAATTGCCAGGGAGTCTGTCGATCAAGGTAAGCCCAAAGATAAGATTATAAAAGACCACTAAAACACCTACTAACACCTAACACCTAACACCCACTCATTCACAAACACAGCAAACTCTTGCAAACACTCACTGAGTCAAACGAAATTTTCCCTAACATTATCCAACCCCTTGATCTACTATTATGCAAATGTGACCAAACTAATTCCACGACCTGTGATTTAACTACTGTGATCAAGTAGCAAACGAGAACGTTAAAATTGTTAAACGATGCATTTTCTGTTCCGCATCAATGTCTGTGGGAGATTGTATGCTTGGCACAAACCGCTGCACCGTTTACAATTAGCTGAATGTTTGTGACTCACACCATCAAGACACCAACACACGCCCTCACACCACACACACAACATCACACACCAACCAACTCACACTAGTGCCAATTGAGTTGCTAGCACACGCGCACATTAACGAACCGAGGAATGCCAGACGATCCCCCGGATCAAAAAGAGAAAATACATAACAGCATAATGAGCATTCATAGATCGTAGGACCGTATCATCCACTAACAAGCCTCTGCATTGCCCTTCTATTCACTTGGAACAGGCGGCAGCGGACTGGATATTGTCATGGGTGGCGTAGGAAGCAGTGTCGGCGTGGGACTGGGTCTCAATGTTGGCATTGGGGTCACCAGCAGCAGTAGCAGCAGCAACACCGGTGGAAATAACAACAGCAGCGGCAGTAGCAACACCGGCGGAACCGAGAAGAATCCATCTGGTGGGGGTCCCTCATCGGGCGCCAATGGCAGCGATGACTTAAACACGCTGGAGGCCGAGATTTCGGAACTTCAGCGGGAAAATGCACGCGTTGAATCGCAAATGATGCGGCTTAAGTCAGACATCAATGCCATGGAGTCGCAGCTGAGCACCAGCGATCGGGTATGTAGGCTCAGGTTCGTTGACGGCAACAAATTATGAGACCAAGTCCATTTCCCACTAGGCTAAGCGCACGAACTTCGCAGACGATGGTCACACTAAAAGTTTTGCACCACCCCTAATAACGCCTCCTACTAAGACCCCACCATCCCTCCGCCCTTAAAACTTTCGACTCAAACGAGACTTTGAGTGGAGTTCTTTTTACCCATAGTATATCGCTTTTGTTGTTTTGAGTTCGGTCTGTCGTCACCTGAGCGAGTTTTGTCTTGGCACTTTTCAAGGACGTCTCTAAAACTCGGCGCAAAAAAAAGAAACAATAAACAACAAGTGAAAGAAAGTAAAGTTAAGTAAAGTGAAATAAACTTAGGGTAAAGTTGAATCGAAAACGAGGGCGCGAGCGAAAAGTTTTATCAGCCGCCGACGCAGACGTTAAATTACCCAGGATCTTGTGGTTTTCAAGCCTAACAACGCATATTTGCATGCAGAGGCCAAAGCAAATGCAAACGAACAGCAAGGCGCAAGAGATTTTGATAGCCTTGACTATATCCAATCAGCTCATATGTTCACTCAACCCCAGTTAAACAGCCTTTTCTCTTCGTGTACCAAATCCACCCGAAATGCAATGCATTTGCACTCCACCCCCTGCTGACGTCAGCCAATCGGTGACGTTGCATCCTTGCTGCATCAGACGGCGAATCAGAATCGGCGGCGTCAGGGGCAGGAGGCACACACCCCTAAGCACACACGCCCACGCCCACGCTCACACCCACACCCACACCCACGCTCACACCCACACTCCCACCCACAGCAACATCCACGTCCACGTCCACGTCCACATCCACGTCTCCCTAGAGCGCACGAGTGTGCTGGCGTGTGTGCGCTGGTCATGCGCAGGCCATGATGTTGCAGCCCAACAAGGAGGCGCCAACAAATCGCAGGACGCCATTCGATTTGCTCCTAAAAGCTGGGAAATGGGGCGAAAAAAACGAAGAAAAAAGTACAACAAAAACGAGAACAAGTCCAACACGAGGGGCAGCAATAACTGTGCTACAAAGGCGCCGGCAGCGACGTCGACGCAGCATTAACCTTTGTATTTTTGGGGCACCCCCAGGCCCCAAAAACTCCGAAAACGCCACTCTTTCTCGCTCTTTCCTGCTCTCGCCAGATTTCGTCGTCTCTTTTCGCCTGCGGTGTTCGGGTTGACTTCGTTCAGAATTCGTCTCTGTTTTCTTTTTTTTCCCCGCTTTGCTCCCCACCCCATTTCTTTTTTATTTCACTTCTGTGTGTGATAGCGCGTTCTTATTGGAATTCCCATACACATATGTGGCACATGAGCAGGGGTTTATGTACCCGGGGGAAACCCCACCCAATCAAGTAAATTGAAAACCGATTCGTGACCGTCGTCTGAGTTGCAACACACTAACCACTAACCAATATGTATACATTTCTGTTGTGCCCACTATAGGAGGCTTCTCCATTGAGCGGTCATCAGCAGCAACAACAGCGTTCCTCGGTGGCTTTGGCCTCGCCCAGTGGGCAATCGCCATTCGCCAGTGTCAGTTCCACCAGTGGTGCCAGCTCCTCGGTCAGTGGCGCCACCACAAACAGCAGCAACAATAACAACAGCTCTGGAGGTGGAGGTGGCGGTGGCGGTGTCGGTGTCGGTGGCACCACCAATGCCAACGATCTCAATCACTCGATCAGCAATTTGGCACCCAGTTCAGGCAGCAATCCCAACCAGCCCATGGAGGGCGTGGGAGCACCACCCAATGCCAATCTGAACAACTACTATGAGAGCCTGAGGAATAATGTGATCACGCTGCTGGAGCACGTGCGTCTGCCGCCACCACCACCACCGCCTGGTGCGGTCACGCCCAACTCGTCGGCATCATCGGTGGTTCATGGACTGGATAATGTGTGTGGTGCCGGTGGCCAATTGGTGACCGGTGGATCGCTGGTGGGCGGGGAGCATGCGACAGCGTACTCCACACTCCTGCCGCCGCCACCACCACCATCGTCGGGCGGTGCCGGTGCTGGCGGTGGAATGTACGGTGGTGGTGCTAATGGAGCTACTGGTCTTCATCAGGGCACTGGCTCCAGCAATGGTGGAGGACTGGGATCAAGCGGAGCCGTTGGACCGCCACCAGTGCCGCCCCATCATCATCCCTACACGGTGCATCATCCCGTTAGCTACGCCCATCCACATGGTCATCCGCATGCACATCCGCATCCGCACGAGCACTTCGACTCGTATATCTCAAAACTGCAGTCGCTATGCGTGCCTCCCGATGTTTATGCCCTTCCCGAAGATGCGGACCGGCCCGTTTACAACTCAGTGAAGCCCACCATGCACCAGGACTACGGCAAACTGATGCCGACACCCATCTAAGAACTCTGAGAATCAAAAGCCCAGTACTGGTGACCCCAACATAGAGCCACATCCCGTCCAGGGCTCAAACACGTGTAAATACTTAGGCACAAGCAAGAAGAAGTAGAATGTAAGAGGAAAAACTGACGTTATCCATAGGCCTGACTTCAAGGCAGACTATACAAATTGAAATTGGGACAGAGTGTCGGGGTCACCCGAACGTACTCGATGCCCCATTAGTAGATACATAAAGCTAATTCTTAGGGATAGACACCTAACCATTTAGTTGGTTGGGCAATGCTAGTTCCAGTCTTAGTAATTAGTAATTAGAACTGTTCCACATCCTAGATCCTAGACGCTTTCGTCGTGTGTTGATAGCAATGATGTATAAAACAAGAATGCAAGAATGCAAAACCGAACATAAGTGTGTAATTCGATTATAAATTGCAATTTTTTTGTCTGTATCAAATACTACAACTAGAAGTTATAGAAATCGATATATTATATATATAATTATATGAAATAACAACTCCCAAAAAGTATATGTTTAAATCTAGGGCATTTGTTTGCTGTTGATGTCTGGTCAATTTTTTGCATACGGAGCGCAAAATGTTCGTCACTACTTAATAGACCCTACCCGAGTTCCACGTAGTGCCCCTATAGCCCATATCCCCGCAGGCTAAGTTAAGTTTAGTGGCAAAGTCGAACACCAAAGTGGAAAACGCAGTAAAATACAACATATAAACGTGCAAATATAATCAGTACTAAACTAGTGGATGTAATCGAACGATTTTTTTTTGTTTTTTTTTTGTGTAACTGTAATATTAAAATGTAATAGTAATATCAAGCGAATATCTAAAACTATAATGGGTAAGTGTGTGAAAGAAAGTGAGATCGTTGGGTTGCGAGGCGGCAATACCTACATGAAATCGGGAAAGAAAGCACGCGTACATATGCAGATTATATCAGTATGTGTGTACATGTAAATGTCTGCTTTTCTGTAGGATCGTAAGTTTTAATGTTACCCCTTACGAAATCGGACAAGAAGCATTAACAAAAACCCCTAAGGAAATAGAACGGATAAATAGATTAAAATTCAGTGCAATACGTTCAACCAAATGAGAACAAGGCGAAAATCCAAAATCGTAATTTACTAATTGTGTAAGCTTAAGTAAACCAAGTAGTTGAACAAAAAGTCACGTTTTTTTTGTATCGTCATACGTCTAATCTTAAACCTAACTTTAACTAAATAAAAAAAGTAAAGCGTAGATCGGAGAAGAAAACCCCAGGCCGCAAGGTAATTTAGACGAATTTTAAAAAAATAAAAAACAAATGGAAAAAGTTTAAAACACAAAAAACAAATGGCACGAAGCAAATGTCGAAAGAGTACGAAAATAAATAGCAGGCTTAACTGAAATCATTGTATTAAACGAAGTAATACATTACGATGATTAATATAATTACACTAAACTAAATATAAAACTAAAATATATATATAATATAATATTGTATTGTATGACAAGAAAAATTCTGTAATTTACAAGCGAAAAATATTTTATGTGATCATTGTCTTTTTTTTTAATATTACAAGAAATAAATAATTCGAATACCAAATAAAGGATATACACAATAACGAATTGATTGTTTGCATTAAAAGGGGTTTTCATTTATATGATGGCAGTTATTGCTTATGGTCTTTTGAAGAACGTTTCAATTTGAGTATGAACTAGCTTTTAAGTGTTCTGCAAGCTCGATTATCCATTCTAATTGCTTTGCACCCAAATACTCATTTTGTGGAGCTTGCATTAGCATAAATCAGGGCCAAATTGTTTTTTTCTTTTTGGTTATATGGGATGGTGTGTTCGGACAGTGGTAATCGAATGAAAAATGCGCAGCACTTTCTTGGCAATGTTTTTAATTTCAATTAGCCACTGGCACTGACCAAAGGACCTCCCGCTGAAAGGCCGCTAAACGATGAAGGATGCTGGTCAAGCTGGGCCACGGGAACGGGAACGGGATGCCACTTGATTTATGTGGCTTCATTAGACATTCCGCACATAGCTGGTGGACCAAGTAGCCGGGGGGCTAAGTGATTGCCAAAAACTAAAACCGAGCACACGGCCAAACGCAATTAGAAGCGAACTTCAATGAGCGATAAACGAAGGGATGTGCTGTGGTGGGCGAGAATTTCCCATTTCCCGGCGAATTTGCCAGTTTTCCGATTGACCAGCATGGAATACTTTTGGTTGCCACCTCGAGCACTCAAAGTACGGACCGAGGGCAGGAAAAAAAAAGCTGGGAAAAAGGGTTCCCGGGTCCGGTTTTGGTTTGTGTTTGCCCGTGTGAGCCGCAAAAATATTTGCATAGTTACCTTTAATGTGGTTCGGTTCGGGATGGTTCAGGTCGGTTCAGAGTTCACAGCTCACAGTGTACAGTTCGCAGTTCGCAGACTCGATGCAAAGTTCTTCGAAAACAAACGAACAAAAGTTTTCTTTGCATAAACACACACACACACACACAGTTGCACAACAACTCGTACATGCTGGCATGTAATTTAAAATGAAAAATTCTATTCTTTTGACGCAATCACAAACACACACACACGCACACAAGCACCCACACATACGTCAGCGAGCATTGATTTCATTTGCATAAATAAGGAAAAAGGCGGCCTGGAAGGGGGAGTCTGGCCCCAAAGTGGTTGGGGCGAAGGCGGGATCTGTGGGCGTATTGGGGGCTACGAAAGGTCCTCTGTGCCGCCGATAACGTGAGGCAAGCGAAACTATTGCCTACTTACGGGCGGCGAACGAAAACAGTCGCACACTTGCACAGTGGGACAAAATGCCGGGTGAACTGCAAAATATATTTTGTTTAATTTTAACTGCTAGCTGAGCTCGTCATTTCCATCCAGTAACGGCTACTAGAATTTAACTGCATACTAATGCCTTGATTGATTCTTCCCTACACTATATGCTTGCATCTTCAATAAGTGTGTTAAATGAACTCGTCCACGGTGCCACGTACTGTCACTCCCCCACTCTGCCACCAGGAACCCCTTCGCCAACCCCTGCCCAATCCGCACCCACCATGCGAATGCCGAAGGGCGGCGGCAGTCAAAAATCGCATAAATTAAAAAACTGCACACACTCACGCACAGACATGCGACGGATGGGAGTTGGGGTGGTGGTGGGAGGCAATGGCAACCCTTTGTGCCAACTCCCCCGCCCCTCGCCCAGCTGTCGCTCACCACCAAGGAAGTAATAAAGTATCTCGAAAGTAACTTATTAACCATGCTGACAACGCTGCCAGCGAAGCTCCTGGAGCTCCAGACACACAGCGCGCTTCGGGATACCAGGACTCCAGGACGCCAGGACGCCAGGACTCCAGGATGTGTCTGTGCACCACACGCACACGCACACACACTCGCATTCCTCAGCTGCGGGAGAGGGGTGGGGTGGTCTGACTTGGGATTGGGGCACGGGTAGTCATGTTTCATGTTTGCTAATTGCAAGTCGATTTTTCATTTCGCATTTCTCTCCAGAGTGTCGTAGTGGACCTGGGAACTGGGAACTGGGACCTCAACCTGAAGCCAAACCTGAATCCCCATCAGAACCTGAGGTCCGCAACATGCACAGGGAAAAACGCGGGCCTAGTACTAGTAAAATCTTCTTTTTCAATGAGATCAGTGTTGTTACTAAAATGTTTGCTAAAATAGAACTTTGGGTATATAGGCAATTAAGAAAAATTGTATATGATTTCTGGATTACATAGTCTCCTTATAAAAAGTGCCATTATATTGACCATACGTATTAAAATTTTCTTTTAGTGCTATAAAGGAGCTGGACAAGGAACTGATTGAGTCGGTGGAAATTGTTGAGGTTTCCGCTGACCCACTCAACGCCGGAACCACATCAACCCGGAAGGGACTCACGCAAAAAGGCAAAAATATTTAATTTAAAGCAGCATAAAAACAAAGAAGCTGGGTGGGGTGAGTGTAGCCAGCAAATGGTTAATTTAATTACAAATTCTTTGCTTTCTTTTCCATTCGTATTAAATTTTCATGGGGTCCTGACATCAGCTTCCTGTGCGTGCGTGAGTGTGTGTGCCCTGCTGCCCATGTGGTGGTGGGTGTGTGTGTGTGTGTATGTGTATACGGGGCACCTGCTGTCACTGCCTTCTTTGCGGCATTTTGGCCGCTTAAATACCCAGGAGACTTGAGAAAAGCATCCACACTCGCAATCACCCACCCAGCCACGCACACACATGCACACATGCACATGGACACGCTGATTGTCCTTTCAATGAAAAATAGCACTCATTAATGTTGCTCATTAGCAGGACCTCGCATCCTGCTCCTCGACTCTGCCCTGCCAGTGACATTCCCTTACGAGTCTAAGAGTCTAAGGACCTTACCACCCCCACACCACATCTCCGTCGACCACCTCCAGCCTCTTGGCCATTCAGCAAGTGTCAACTGGCAAATGATTCGCCATTATTTACTAATAAAACTCATCGAGTTTCGGGCCTCTGCTAATCGAATGTGTGCTCAGCACCACCCAACCACTTTGGCTTCTGTGTCCTGGCAAGCGAAGGACTCTTAATTCGAAGCGACTCACACGTTTGCGCTGGCAAATGACCTCAATCAACGCGGTCGAGAGATCAGCTGGGGGAAATTAGGAACTTGAGTTATATAAGAACAAATCCTCAGAAGAGCAGCTGTAGGTGGGGAAAATATCGAACCATTATCGTAGTAATCTAAGCAACATTTAAAAGCTGCGAAGCGTTTGCTAATCAACTTTTGGTTCCCATAAACTTGCTGACAATGGAGCTGTGATCATCCAGTAAACAAATTGGCATCAAAACAATTCTTCCCTCTTCTTGGGACGAAAGTGAGTGTCATATTCACAAAAATAGCATCACTTTCCGGTTCCATTTGTTTGATTACATTTTGTCCAAGCCACGACATTGCTTGCGCAGAAGAGTGAATAGAGGGGGCAGGGTGCGGTAATCTTTCATATCGATTCAATAGGCGGCTTCCGGTTCGATTCCGGTGCCTGTCAATCAGCAGAGGTCCCACATGGCTTACCGGAGTGCGGGGCTGAACTCCCCGAACTCCTTTGTCAGGACTATGGGCGTCCTTAGTTGGACTTCCACTTGGACTTTTGGCTGCCAGTCAAACTCTTTTCGGCTGCCCAATTCTTTGCATTTAATTTCGTTTATTCATTCGAACGACCACAAAATGACATTTGCATTTGGGCAGCGGTCAGTCCCGAAACCCGCATCCAAAGTCCCGCATCCAGAAGCCCTAGCCCAGGTCTCATGTGCTGCCCTCCGGGGATTTCCGTTGCCCCGTACTGTGGGAAGGTCTCCGGGGTTTCGTAACAAATGAATGGCTCAGTTGCAAAAATTTGTTTTGACAACTGAAGATGCTCGCAGCAGGCCAAGTGCAAAATTTATAAAGCGCACAAGTGCGAAACTATCAAATGTCCAGGCGGCATGGTGCGGATCGCAGTGGATCACAGTGGAGCGGAGTGGCGAGGAGTGGCGAGGAGTGGCACGGAGTGGAGCTGAGTGTGTGTAATTAATTCTCTGCTGAGTCGGCAAACGTAGGCCCAGCCAAAAAAGCACAATTAAGTGCACAACAAAAACAGCAGATTTGCTGGACGTGGCATGACCAACTACACTGCTTGCCAAACGATTTGCATGGCATTTTGCATTACAAATTATATTATACAAATTGCAACCTACCTACGCTCTCTTTGAGTATGCCAATGCACGCTTTTCCAGGCTGATATCAGCTTTTACATTTCGAACTATAATTTGTAAGCTAATACGCCGCTTAAGTTACCAATTTCATTTGGTTTTGGACGGCTTAAGGCCCAGTGTGCAAGTCGGCTAAACTGCAAATGGATAACTACTATTTTTCGGATACTGTAACTGTGGCCCGTTGCCGGATTCGTCGTCAACAGCTTTATATATATATGTACGTAGTTCGAGGCCATCGTCATCGTAGCCGTGGCCAAAAAGCAATTAGCAAAGTTTTCAGTCTCCAAAACACTCACTCCTCGCATGGGAAACGGGGATGAAGTGGGGTCAGGACTGGGTTTACGGCCATCCTTAGCCGACCATCATCAATCTGGTGCAGTTGCGCACCCAATCCGTACCCAATCCCAGTTCCGCGTCGATCGGATTCCTTTGCTCCAATGCTGTTGCACCCAACTATCAGATGCCATGGAGAGAAAAATACACACAAAAGCTGACATTTGTATACAAATCTAGGAGCTATTCAGTTGGTAATTTAAATTCACTCGGCAAGAAAGCAAATTGAACAGTATGCAAAGCAATACAGTGCTTTCAAATATATTTAAATTCGATTTATATTTATTTTTCTTACATCTGCAATTACTCGTACGAGTATGTTGACAATTGATTTTGGCTTTTCTCGCTGTGCGACGGGCGCGACCAACGCTATTCGCAATTATTCATGGGTAATCTAACCCAAAATGGGACGTTAATTACTGGCGCATGTCAGTGGCATTTTCCCCATGCCCCATGCCCCATGCCCCGAAATCCTGTGCCCCTCACCACCCAGCTTCCCTTTCAATGTGTAACTGTGTGGCTGTGCGGCGTGAATTGCACAAGTACGGCCAACAATTTGCTTTTTTGTCCGACTGCAAACACTGCGGAATCCGTACACCCAGGTCCCCAGAAGTCCGCTCTCCGGCCATTTATCGGGTGATTAATTAAGCTGCAAGGACCTGCGAATGCAACGTTCTGCCGCTGACAACTCCCAGTGAAACGAGGTGGCGGTGGTGGGCCATTGAAGATTTGCGCAAATATTCAACTTGGTAACGCAAGGGAAAGAGTAACGCCTATATCAATCATATTTTTTTAATTAATAATGTCTTAGATCTATTTGTGTGGGTCAATTCATTGCAACCCCACATTTAACATTGCTTAAGTGGAATAGAAAATGTTCGAAATTAGCAATCTTATTATTAGAGGTTCAAAATGAAAGACGGTGCAGATTTGGTAAGATATTTTAGAAAATAAAACAGTTTCACACTTTGCTCATAAATCTAGTTAGTAGTTATGGTCGAAAAATATATGTATGATTCAGTTTCTGCGGACACCCAATCGTCGAATACTTAAGACGAATAAGTAAAATGCAGGAATCCGATGTAAAACCTCCAAATAAACCCAGGCATGCGGGGTAGGTTAAAAAAAAAAAAACACGTACGCGTATGTTTAGTTAAACTTATGGCTAAGTTGTGTTGGCCTAGCTGTGGCCCAGCTTGTCCGCGATGAACTTGACGAAGTCGCTGCGAAACAGGATCTTTGGATTGTCCTCGGTGGCCAGCTCCTCCACCTGGCGTAGGTCCGTCCACTTCCAGAGCAAGCGGCACGAGAAGCTAAATCGGAACGAGGCGAAGATCTCGTTAGCCTTCTTGCTGGGTATCTGATCCTTGTAGTACGCCTCCTTATTCCTCACGTTGAAGTAGTACAGCTGACCCCGCGACCTTGAGTGGGCGGACACATAGTTTTTGGTCAGCTCGCAGAACATCATTATGCCGCCCGGAACAAAAAACTTGTTGTCATCGAGCGCGTATCCGAACCTCTGCGAGTTATCCTTTAGCACATAATGCCGCATGTCCGCAAAGAAACTGCCCATATCCTGCAGCCGAAAGAAGGGTTTGCTGCGCAACGCTCCAAAGGTGCGCTCCTTGCGGTACGGCTTGTTTAGACTCCTGGCGAATTTATCGCACATGCTCACGCGCTCGCGGAACGGCCGTCTCCGGATGTCTATGCCGCCTAGACAGATGCCATCGATAATGTGCAGGGCAGCGACACGCTGAATAGTCCTGCCCTCGCCGTAGAACTCGTACACAATCTGGCCGAAGAAGATCGAGCGCGGTTGCACCTCAAAGGCGGTCTCCACCAGCTCCCACTTCTTATGCTCCGTGTAGCGTAGCAAATTGCCCCGGGATTTGCACAAGAACAGACTGCAGGCATTGATGTTCGTCTCCTCGCGTCCCACAGGCACAAAATACCAGTCCGCCACGTTTATAACAGCCGCATTGAGATTGGCCACGCCGTTCATCTCGGTAGCCGGCAGACTCAGCCAGCTGCGTTCGTTCGCCCAATTGGCAAGGAGTTCATCGAGCAGCCTGTCCGTTGGCTTGATCTCCGGTGCCTGGCGCAGCTTATCCGGCAGTCCCCATCGCTTCAGGCACTCCTGCCGCACCTCCGACTGCTTCGTCTCCTTCAGCTCCGGATTCTGGGCGAATGCTGCTATCTTGCGCAAACCGACGATCTGTTTTTTGCCAATGGCGTTATTTGAATCGATGATGTAACGCAGAAAGTCCTCGTCCTCTGCCAGCTCGTTGGCATCAAAGATCTCCAGCACGTCGTTCTCCTCCAGTTGCGACTCATCGGACAGCATCAGGTTGACCGTATTCAGATAGGCTATGATGCCCGCCGTCTCCGTGTCCGAACGTTTGTACTTGCAGACCAGGTAGCGCTCCGAATTTGCCGGTCGGCTGCTGTTTGGTTTGATGATGGCGATCTGCTGGAAGCACTTGTACATCAGATAGACCAGTCCCACACTAAACGGTGTAAACAGGTCAAACACCTTGCACACGAAGCTGCCGTTCGGTCGCAGAATCTTTAGGGCGGTGAGGAACTGACAGAGGTACAGCTGCTTGGACAGGATCTCCTGGATGTTCTCCTGACCTTCCACAGAAAAGCCCCCGTCGGCCATGGCAAAGTGAACCCCCTGGGGCGTATGCATGCGGATATATTCGTTCAGCGAATCCTGGTTGCTTTCATCGAAGATGTTGCCATCTTCCTTTACGCCGTAGAACGTATCAAAGGACTCCGGCGAGGCAGCAAAGAACTTTTCCAGCTTAAAGTCGTTTGCGCCACGCAGCGTGAAGCCGAAACCTTTGGCCTCCCAAGATTTGCGGAACAGTACGTACTCGGAGAAGCCGCCAGGGCCTGTGCAAGAACAAAAAAGAGATCAAGGTTATTACTATAATGCGAGTTTATTGGGACTGAAGTATTTATGTTAATGGAAATGAACATTTGGAAAGTAAAGTGAAACGCAAGGTATTCACCTGCACACATATCCGTGAAGTAGAGGAGCTCGTCGGGAGCCACCAGGGACTGGCCAGCGGGGTCTCGGGGATTGGTGAACATGAAGTCGCACATCGAGTCGATGTTGGCCATCTTGACGGCGGCGCGATTGAGAAAGATGGAGCTGCGGATCGTCTCGAACGGATTGCATCTGGATCTCGCCCGCCGTTTCTCGCTGTCGTTGAGATCATCGAATACGGTTTTGGCGTTGAGGATGTGATGCAGGATGGCTGGATCGCAGTAGCGTGTCTCCCCGTCGAGGGTCAGCTTCTTCTCACCGGTGACCACATGTCCCATCAGTTGATCGAGGCTATATGCGTCCGTACGGTTGCCAGGATTGTGCAGCCAAAGCACCGGTTCGGGTATCTCGAGCTCCTCGCAGGCGGGATCCCATTGGCCAGCCGAGGTCTGGACGGTGTCCAGTTTGAGGCCGAAGCCACGGCGCCCATCCTGCTGAACGGCGATGATGGGCTCCAGACGACCCTGGTTGCTCTTTCCTAAACCCTTGTCATTCTCGTAGCCCATCTTTTTCATCATCTCCATGGCCTTGTTCGAGTAGCTCTTCACCCATTCCCGCTTGATCTTCTTGGGCGTGGGTTCCGAGTTCTCATCGTCCGAAGGTTCGTCCATCTTGCACGCCGCGATGGAATCTGATCTGTGATCTGGGATTTTATGAGGTGGTATACGCGACTTTCTGCAGCGTATTAATTGATTATATACATTGACAATTAGTTCAGCTGAATGGCATTAGTTAATTAATGGGACACATCTTCCTGTGGCGAGTTATTTGTTTACAAAGAAATGTGGGCAACGACGTAGGTTCCTTGTCCACAGCCAAGTTATTACACTATATCAGTGTTGTTTGCCCTTCACGCCCTTCGGGCATCTAGATGGTTAAGACTGCGTTCCGAAAACTGTTAGTTAACCGTGATTAACACTTAAGCACATTTAGAAGCACATTTATGTTCTTTTTGGTCTAATTTTCAGCTGCAGCTGATTCGATAGGTGCGATAATTCCAGACAAAAAACGCTTAGACTTATCGATAACACACTTCTTCTTGTGGACGTACGCCGACTGGCGATAAATATCGAAGCGAAGCATAGTAAAATATACCGAAAAATGCTGTCCGCGGGCAAAATTTGAATACATTATTCAGTTAGCTTATTTTGATTTTATTTTAATGCGGGTTAATAAGAGCTCCATACAAGAACTAGAACATTATTGTAGGGGGAACATTTTCTGACCAGTTTAACCAAAGGCTTAGTCAAAGGAGTCTCTGAGTTAGATCTCTACAGAGCAGTCACCTATTTCTGGCATAAACATATCTAGCTCGGTTTTAGCTCAAGTTTAGCTTAAATTCCTGGACTGAAATGGACGGACAAACAGGTGACGAGGTTAAACCCAATCCCCTATCGCGAAAACTAAAGTTCTCCGGGATTTGTAAGCTGAGCGATGAGGAACTGGCGCATCTCTACAAGATCGATGAGCTGACGGACGAGGAGCTGGCCTCTGTGGACCTGGAGAGAAGCTCCCTGATCGATGATTATCGTCATCTGCACGAGCTTTCGATGATGTGGCAAGAGAAGAACAAAGCCGAACCGCCTTCAAACCTCTCCGAGTGGGAGTTACACAGCCAGTTGCAGCATATGGAGTACAAGCCCAAGAAGGTGTACAAATTTTTCTTGCTCAACAAGTTAGTTAAGGTCATGAGTTTCGAGACGGATCCGGGGTCCATCTACACCGAGAAGCAGTTGCAGTTCGATGTGGACTACCATGACGAGAATGCCTATCTGCTTCCGCCCAAGGATTGTCTGCGTCGCCGCCTGGAGTCCTTCTACGATCACCTGGACAACATGTTCGTCTGCGGCGATCGCAACATGGCCATCGACTTGGTGGTGCAGGGCATCCTCCGTTTGAACAAGCGCCGCGAAATGCAAAACGGTGGCCTCACCCCAAAACCAAAATCATTCAAAGGAAGTGCAATGCCAAGTGCAGGATTATCGCCCGGATCTCTGTTTTTTGATTAACTTGTTTCTATACTCTAGAAAAAGCACAAATTTTTTCGGTCTATTGTTATTGGAACAAATTTTCAATTAAAGTCAGTTTTCCCATTTAAAAATATTATTATTATTTCTCTACAAATTGCTATGTTGTGGCCAAATTGATGATGTGGGACTTTGTACAGCAAAATTCAAATTTCTTGGCAAAAAATGCAAAAATGGCAAAAAATTAAAGTTTCCAGGCTGGAATAAGACCGATAGGAATTTTTATTAGGAGTTTAACAAGGTATCACATTCTATGTTTGAAGAATTATTTCAATTGATATTGAAAAAAAACGAATTATTTTTGACCAAAAAATCAAATTGAAATATTTAGCAAAAATTCGATATTTTCAAATGGCGTTTTCCCCATAACTTGGCCAAAACAGGTCGCAAAAATAAAATAATAACAGTTTTGCGAGGCCAATGAACATATCTAACTACCCCTATCACTATCTCAAAGATTTTTCAAAATCCATTTTTTAACAAATTTTCGCATTTTTAATAAGGGGTACAACCATAATTTTTTGCGAAAAATGGCAAAAATTAACATTTTTAGGCTTGAATGCAGATCGATGGGAAATTTTATTACGAATTTAACAAGGTATCACATTCTATGTTTGAAGAATTATTTCAATTGATATTGAAAAAAAACGAATTATTTTTGACCAAAAAATCAAATTGAAATATTTAGCAAAAATTCGATATTTTCAAATGGCGTTTTCCCCATAACTTGGCCAAAACAGGTCGCAAAAATAAAATAATAACAGTTTTGCGAGGCCAATGAACATATCTAACTACCCCTATCACTATCTCAAAGATTTTTCAAAATCCATTTTTTAACAAATTTTCGCATTTTTAATAAGGGGTACAACCATAATTTTTTGCGAAAAATGGCAAAAATTAACATTTTTAGGCTTGAATGCAGATCGATGGGAAATTTTATTACGAATTTAACAAGGTATCACATTCTATGTTTGAAGAATTATTTCAATTGATATTGAAAAAAAACGAATTATTTTTGACCATAAAATCAAATTGAAATATTTAGCAAAAATTCGATATTTTCAAATGGCGTTTTCCCCATAACTTGGCCAAAACAGGTCGCAAAGATAAAATAATAACAGTTTTGCGAGGCCAATGAACATATCTAACTACCCCTATCACTATCTCAAAGATTTTTCAAAATCCATTTTTTAACAAATTTTCGCATTTTTAATAAGGGGTACAACCATAATTTTTTGCGAAAAATGGCAAAAATTTACATTTTTAGGCTTGAATGCAGATCGATGGGAAATTTTATTACGAATTTAACAAGGTATCACATTCTATGTTTGAAGAATTATTTCAATTGATATTGAAAAAAAACGGATTATTTTTTACCAAAAAATCAAATTGAAATATTTTGCAAAAATTCGATATTTTCAAATGGCGTTTTCCCCATAACTTGGCCAAAACAGGTCGCAAAGATAAAATAATAACAGTTTTGTGAGGCCAATGAACATATCTAACTACCCCTATCACTATCTCAAAGATTTTTCAAAATCCATTTTTTAACAAATTTTCGCATTTTTAATAAAGGGTACAACCATAATTTTTTGCGAAAAATGGCAAAAATTAAAATTTTTAGGCTTGAATGCAGATCGATGGGAAATTTTATTACGAATTTAACAAGGTATCACATTCTATGTTTGAAGAATTATTTCAATTGATATTGAAAAAAAACGAATTATTTTTGACCATAAAATCAAATTGAAATATTTAGCAAAAATTCGATATTTTCAAATGGCGTTTTCCCCATAACTTGGCCAAAACAGGTCGCAAAGATAAAATAATAACAGTTTTGCGAGGCCAATGAACATATCTAACTACCCCTATCACTATCTCAAAGATTTTTCAAAATCCATTTTTTAACAAATTTTCGCATTTTTAATAAGGGGTACAACCATAATTTTTTGCGAAAAATGGCAAAAATTTACATTTTTAGGCTTGAATGCAGATCGATGGGAAATTTTATTACGAATTTAACAAGGTATCACATTCTATGTTTGAAGAATTATTTCAATTGATATTGAAAAAAAACGGATTATTTTTTACCAAAAAATCAAATTGAAATATTTTGCAAAAATTCGATATTTTCAAATAGCGTTTTCCCCATAACTTGGCCAAAACAGGTCGCAAAGATAAAATAATAACAGTTTTGTGAGGCCAATGAACATATCTAACTACCCCTATCACTATCTCAAAGATTTTTCAAAATCCATTTTTTAACAAATTTTCGCATTTTTAATAAGGGGTACAACCATAATTTTTTGCGAAAAATGGCAAAAATTAAAATTTTTAGGCTTGAATGCAGATCGATGGGAAATTTTATTACGAATTTAACAAGGTATCACATTCTATGTTTGAAGAATTATTTCAATTGATATTGAAAAAAAACGAATTATTTTTGACCATAAAATCAAATTGAAATATTTAGCAAAAATTCGATATTTTCAAATGGCGTTTTCCCCATAACTTGGCCAAAACATGTCGCAAAGATAAAATAATAACAGTTTTGCGAGGCCAATGAACATATCTAACTACCCCTATCACTATCTCAAAGATTTTTCAAAATCCATTTTTTAACAAATTTTCGCATTTTTAATAAGGGGTACAACCATAATTTTTTGCGAAAAATGGCAAAAATTTACATTTTTAGGCTTGAATGCAGATCGATGGGAAATTTTATTACGAATTTAACAAGGTATCACATTCTATGTTTGAAGAATTATTTCAATTGATATTGAAAAAAAACGGATTATTTTTTACCAAAAAATCAAATTGAAATATTTTGCAAAAATTCGATATTTTCAAATAGCTTTCAAATAGTTTAACGAGGTATTACATTCCACATTTAGCCAATTATTTCAGCCAATTGATATTGACAAAATTCAGCAGTTATTTGACCAAAAAATCAGGATTTTATTTTTGCAAAAGTATGATATTTTCGAACCGGCCAATGCAGGTAGCAAAGTTGAAAGTACGACTTCTACGAAGTTTGTGCAGCTAAGCAAAAAGCTCTAGCTTCATAGGCTAGGAAAAGGAAATCAAGGAGTGCCCACTAGTAGCCTTTGAGTAAGACTTCCACAAGGCAGTCCGAAATTTCAAGGAAACACAGTTTAAGCATCGTGCTGATCACACGTTTTGAAAATTGAAATTGCTGGTTTGAAATTCCATTATAGCACTAAAATGTCCTGGCTGACGGAGATTCCATTGTCGAGAGAAGAAAGAGTGGGTCTCCAAGATATGTTTCAGTTGTCCGACGACAATGGCCTGCAGAGGAATTCCATGATGCATAACTTTCGCTTCATTTGCGATCTCAGTGGGGAGTGGCACACAACTGATGGATTGACCCAGGTCCGAGCACAAGCTCCAAAAAGCAGCCCCGCCAAACCAGGCAAACAGGAAATGGCATGGAACATACCCAGCAAAGTGTACACGTTTATGATGCTCAAGCAGCTGGTCATGGAGATGAGTTTCGTGGAGCAGCCGGAGAACATTTTCAGGGAGCAGGAGTTGGCGATTGATAAGGATTACCGCGAGGTACCGGACGTGGAGGCCCTGCATATGACGCCCAGAGAGCGCCTGAATCGCCGGCTCAAGTCGTTCTATGATCATCTGGAAGAAATGTTCGTCGGCGACGATCTCAACATGGCCAACATGGCCGTCGACGTGGTGTTCAACGGAATCTCCCGCTTGGCCGAGCGCCGAAATGAGTTGATAACCAGCTGGCAAGCCAAATAACATAAAAACTGCACGCAGTTTTGCGCCATTTAAGGTCATCCCTAATCAAACCTAAAATCAATATAAAGCATAACGAAGTCTGGGAAAAGCTGGAAAATCGTTCACTCTTCAATGTGTATTCCGGTTCTCTACCGGAATGCACCAGATTATTGTATTTTAAACCAAATTCAAATTCATTTTTACGCCCTTGATTCGTGCGCATTTGTGTGTACTTCAATTACAGAAATTACTTATTATTCACTTAACTAGTTCTTTAAAGTAATATTGGTTTGTAAGTAAGGAACTTAAGAAGGGGTAAAAAAAAAGTGGTTTCAGTTCTATTATTGATTCATTCGGGCAGTGCTTGCAGGCTCGCGACTGGGTGCTCTCCACATCCCCCTACATCTTCTCGTAGGTCTCGCTGTATGGACAGGTGAGGCAGTTGTGGGTGTAGGTATCCTCCTCCTCGTTGTAGGTATCCGGCCCGAACTCGTGCTCATGTACTTCGTGCGTCTTCTTGGTGTAGATGCTGCTGCGCACCTCCATGCGCAGTTGCTTCATCTTCTTGTTGTACTTGCGAGCCTTGCCCTCCTCCCGCCTGTCCTCGCGCGACTCATGCTGGCGCACCAGCTCCTCCTCGCTGCCCCAGACCTCCAGGGCGCGCTGGTGGATCTGCAGATGGAGATACAGCTTCATTTCGCCCCAACGCACGTTGTGTGGGTTCTTGCGACTTATGTACCGCAGCTTGGGCTCCCGCTTGTCAAAGTCGCAGTCCTTCAGCAAGTACTCCGCCTTGGCCTCAGTTCGCGTAATCAGGGCGTAGCGATCGTCCTTGTCCCGGCACTTATCGCACACCGAGTGCCCGAAGTTGTTGAACAAATAGGAGTCGGCGAACATGTCCCCGCACTCCAGGCACTCCTCATACTGCACGGGTATGGCAATGGCGTCGTCCAGGATCGGAGGGGCCTCCTCCCCGGAGTTATTGGGGCCCGCTAGGCCCGAGGCTGTGGGTAGAACAGGCTGTTCCAGCAGGAAACCCCCTCCGGAGTCTATGTACTTGGTTCCCTGCACCTTGATCACAGAGCTGCCCTGGCTGAGGGCCGCCTCGGGATGGTAGCCGCCCTCCTTGTTGCTGTCGGGGATTAGACGAGCTGCGGGTTAGGTATAATCTCTCGGGGATATGGCATAATGGATAGCCCACCTGGCCAGGTCCTTAAATGGATGCGAAACCAACTTGGCCTCCCGCAATTTCTGCGCCTTGGCCAAGTTCCTTTCGATCCTCGCCTTTTGTGCATTGGTCAGCTTGGACTTCTTCTCCGCCGGCGGAGCAGCTTCATCGGTAGACACCTCTGCAGACATTTCTATTTCACAAGCTTATCTTTTTGGGGAGCGCAAACTTCTCAGAAATTTTGTTTATAAAATGCTTCTTCTTGCCGATTTGACATTCCACGCAAGAGCATCAAGTTCAAAGCCAAATTAACTTTTACACGGAGCAAAACCAATAACTGTTTAAGTCAATAGTCAAGGAATAGTTAAGTTAATAGTTAAGGAATAGTCAATATATGAGAAATAAGTTATTTAACATATAAATACCTTAACTTCACACACTTCAACTCTAAAAACGACCTTTAAAGCATTTAAATGCTTTTAGTATTAGTTTAGTTTTAAATGGGTGGGCGTTTGGCATTTCTACCGCTTCACGGTCACACTGGTGGATTTGTTTTTATTTTGGTCGCAATGCAAAGTAAACACCGCAAACTGCTGCTGCGGTGCCTCCTGGTGCTGCCCCTCATCCTCCTGGTGGACTACTGCGGCCTGCTGACCCACCTGCACGAGCTGGACTTCGAACGGCACTTCCACTACCCGTTGAACGATGACAGCGCATCCGGATCTGGATCCAAATCCTCTGGACTGGACAAGTTCTCCTACCTGCGAGTGCCCTCGTTCACGGCGGAAGTGCCGGCTGACCAGCCTGTGCGGCTCACGCTGCTCATCAAGAGCGCTGTGGGTAACTCCCAGCGGCGGGAGGCCATCCGCCGGACGTGGGGCTACGAGGGTCGCTTCTCAGACGTCCATCTGCGACGCGTGTTCCTGCTGGGCACAGCCAATGAGAGCGAAAAAGACGTGGCCTGGGAGTCCCGGGAGCACGGCGACATTCTCCAGGCGGACTTCACGGACGCCTACTTCAACAACACGCTGAAAACCATGCTGGGAATGCGCTGGGCCAGCGAGCAGTTCAATCGCAGCGAGTTCTATCTCTTCGTGGACGACGACTACTATGTTTCGGCCAAGAATGTGCTTAAGTTTTTGGGCAGGGGGCGTCAGAGCCACCAGCCAGAGTTGCTATTCGCAGGGCACGTGTTCCAGACATCGCCGCTGCGCCACAAATTCAGCAAGTGGTACGTTTCACTGGAGGAATACCCCTTCGATCGCTGGCCGCCGTATGTGACCGCCGGAGCGTTCATGCTCTCGCGCAAGGCACTCCTCCAGCTATACGCCGCCAGCGTCCACCTGCCGCTCTTCCGGTTCGACGACGTTTACCTGGGCATCGTGGCCTTGAAAGCGGGAATTCCCCTCCAGCACTGCGATGACTTCCGCTTCCATCGGCCGGCGTACAAGGGTCCGGACAGCTACAGTTCGGTGATAGCCTCGCATGAGTTCGGGGATCCCGAGGAGATGACTCGGGTCTGGAACGAGTGCCGCTCCGCCAACTACGCGTAGCATCAAGGACTTGGCTGAAGACTCCTGGAGATTGTATATACGAACGATTCAACACCTATACAACAGCCTTATAAAGTATATTAGGAGGAGCAGATGATACCTCAACCGTTCAGTGAGACTTTAAACTAAGCAGCTGGTGGTAATAGTGCAAGATCCCAAGATTAATTCATTCTAATTGTAAGCATAATGATAAAGCAGTTGATTTATTGTGAGTAAACATCAGTTCATATTTATAGAGATTACTTAAAGTAGGTCTAATACCTTTCGATGCAATATAAAGTTGGTTAACATAAGAAAGCGAATAAAGAACATAAAATAACTTACACAGGGATTTCTAGGAAAGGCCATTTCTATTTGAAAATGCCGCGCTCTAATATGGCAGTTGTACCCGCTAAGCGTGGTTCGTGTCCCCGCTAGCTGTCATGTGCCAAAAACCCAGTGTGGCCAGAAAAAATTATAACCAAGCAAGCCCAGTGTGACCGTGAATCCGCACAGCAAAAACATCACAGAAACACAAACGCGATAGTATCGTCGCCGTATAAAAAGCGGCGGTCACCGCCGAGCGCCAGTATTAAATTTGTGACGTCAAGAGCTCCGCTTCGCGACCATCAACGGCTAAACTTCGCCAAGTGTACAGCTATACATAGAGAGGTATATAGAAGGCCGACCCCGCCAGCATCCCAGCTTAGTAATTCACTTTTGCCAATCCAAAAACCAACGCCAAAAACCAAACCAAGGTGAGTTCCATTTTGCACTCCACGCGCAGATTATAACTTTGATTTTTGTCGCTTTTTGTCCATTTTCGATGGGGGGATCGCCGGTAATTTCCTTTCCTGTGGAAAGGGGGGAAAGTGGTAAAAGGGGATCTTAACTGGTTTTTGTTGACTGCGCTTCTTCATTGATTGCAAAAATGGCAGCGGATTTGTTATAAATATTTATTGTGCTGGGCTAGTCCGTTACCTTTTACTCTTTCTCCTCGTTTCCATTTCTTTTCTTCTACTTTGTAACTCTTTTTCTGCAGCTGTTGAAGCGCTTTTGTCGTCGCCCCTTTGTTGACTATTTTTTTTTTTGTTTTTTTTTTATTATTTTTTGTTTTTTGTGTGGCTCAAACTTCAGATTTGCGCGTGTGTGTGTGTGTGTAAGTGCCGGCCGGCATTTTTCACTTCTTTTTTCACCGTCTGCTTTCCGACGTGTGTATGCATGTCCATGTGTGTGCGTGCTTGGGCGGGGCGCATGTGTTGTTGCTGCCCAATATCCTCCCCCACAGTGGGCACCACGAAAAAAGTGACACTATGTCTTGGAAATTAATTCACTTAATGCATTGGGGATCACAGAAGGTATATAAACTTAATCTGCTAAGTTTGAGCTTATGTGAAAGAAAAGTAGGTGCAAATCAGAGTCTTCTCAAAATATAGAAGTAATTAGTTGCAGGACTTTGATTTTGAATTATTAAATAGGCGTTAATAAGACGAGGGCAACGATTTTAACTATTCCATCATTCTACTCTAAAGTAGAACCATTTTAAAATCGTCTGAATTAGAGCATATCTTGCAATGAAAAATTAACTGGGAAATATAGGCATATGCACATTTCATAAGGATGAAGTCGCTATCTGTGCGACCTGGACTGTGCGATGTGTGTGCTGGCGAATTGCGAATTTAGCTGGGCGTGGTGCTGTGTCACTTGAATATCCAATATCCAGCGATTTTGAAATTGAATATATGACTAAACGCAGCCGCCTGCATAAAATGTGTATATAATGTGCACAACAAAGTGCTTAAAATTCATCGCAAGTCGCCGATTGCGCCTCCCTTTCGCCCTGTCTCTCTCTCTCTCTTTCTCGCTCTCTAGTTGCACACACTTGTGCATTTCTGCAGGAGATGAGGGTGTAAATGTAAAGCGGACGTGTCTGTCATTTCTCATTTCCCCATCTCTCCAGCTCCTTTTCTTTGCGCTCTCTCCACCCTTTCTTCTCGCCTCCTTTTTGCACTCCGTTCGTCGGCTGGTTGCCACGCATCAGCGGATTTGACTCATTTTATTTTACATATTATGTACATACATATGTCTGTTATGTATGTATATATGTGCATATTCCTATTCTTATTCCCAAAACAATTTTTGTGTCTTTTGTTTTTAACGGTCTCTTGGCGCCGTCTCACTCACACCCCCGAAAAGAGCCAAAAGATATACATATGTATATCTGTAAGAGAATTAACCAAAACAGGAAGAAAGAAAGAAAGCAAAAGAAAAGCTTACAAAGTCAGGCGAAGAAGAAGCACATCTGTGTGGGCAACGATAAA